TGGTCTTCCCGCCCACGGGGACCCCGTTCCAAGGGCGCAGCTTCTCCCACATGGCGTTGCTCACGACGGCGCCGTGCACCCCGATCCCCATCTCCTCAGCTCCGAGTGGAGGATGATGCAATAGCTCTTCGAGATAGCCGGCGGGGAGCTTGCCCTGGTCGCTGGCGACGGGAGCATACTCGATCCCCGCGGTCTTGAGGGTGAAGCAGATGTTCTCCTGGCCCTCTGCAGAGTGGTCCTTGCAGCGCGGCTCCTCTACGTCTACCACGGTCACGCTGCCATCTCCAGCGGGCCCTCCTCCGGGTCTGGATCTCCCCAAGAATATGACCCACTGCGGGCCGGCGGCCCAATGCACCCGCACGCGCGATACGAGGTGGTCACCTTGCTCGGCCTCCTCGTCTGGGGCAGGGCTGGCATCTCGCGGGAGAGGTGCCCTCGGAGAAGGCGACGCTTCAAACCGGACACCAGCAGGTGGACCTCGTGGTGAGGCTGGTGCGTCGCGCGGATGTAGTCCAGGGGCTGTGTGCCCGCGGTGGCTCTCGGGTCCTCGGACTCCGAATGCAGGGGGAGTTGCAGCGGCTGGTGCGCCTTGCTCGCGCGCCCGTGGGCTGCGACTGCGGACTGCCCGGCGCCTCAGGCCCAGGCTCGAGAGGAACCCGCGGCCCTGAGCTGCTGCAGCTGCCTGCGCTGCCCTGCTTGCCTCCCCGCCCAAGTGAAGGAGGCAAAGTTGCGCGCCCTCTGCGTTGCCGACCGCCTGGCGGTAACAAGTCACTTGCGAGCACTTGTCACGACACCGAGAGGCTCGGTAGACCTGCGCATGATGAGCGCAGAGGTGGGCGAAAGAGTTCCGCCCATCGCTGGGCGGCGGGAGGTCTGACGCCTGTCCGTCCTCGAAGAGCAGGGTGGTCGGCTCGGCTTCCGCGGCGTCGCGGCAACCGTCCGGAGCCAGGGGGCGGGCACCACCGCGAAGTACGATGCCCACCCGAACGGCCTCGCACGGTTTGTCCTCGGCCTCCACCTCCGACTCTGATTCCTGATCGAGGACCTCTGCGATGCTCCCTGCAACGCCTGGCTCCGCAGCGCCTGTCTTGCGACGGCGGCGTCGCCGGCAGCAGAAAGAGCAACCGCAGGAGAGGATGCAGTAGATGAACACAATGATCTTCCAGGTACCTCTCCCCAGATCGGCGAAGGTCCGCCAAAGCAGGAAGATGCCGCGGCAGGAGGTGAACTTGGCGTGGGAGCCGATGTCCACGATCGCCTCGGAATCCAGCGCGGCATACTCTTTGCAATGGACCTCCCCAGGTTGGTCTCGACAGACCATGTTGCGGCACAGGTGGATGGAGCGGCCCTCGAGCGTCTCCAATTTCTGGCGAAGCGCGCGTGAGCTCGCACCTTTCACGCTCAGGTAGTCTATCCAAAGGCCGTTCCTGTCGATCCGCTTGGGCTCCGCGAGGTCGATCTTCAGCCGGGCGACGTGGTCGTCGATCTTGACCAGCACGTCATTGGGTCGCCTCCCAGTTCCACGACCCTTCACCTTCTTGCTGTAATACTCGGTGGTCGTAGCTGGCCCGGTCTCTGGCCCCATCCTGTTGATCTGGGTGAGGGCAGGCGGAGCCGGCGGCAGGTACCTTTCGGCAGCTGCATCGCCAGGCTCTCGCCGGCGGCACTTGAAGCACCGCGCCAGTAGACCAATCAGCCAGAGGGCAGCTGCACAGGGGGCCAGTAGAGTGCGACAGATCTGAGTAAGAAAGGCGAGCACTGCCAGGAAGGCCAAGAAGGTGAACGTCCACGCCACGGCAGGCCATGCGGCCCCAAAGACCGTCAGGCCCAGCTTCTCGAGGGCGTAGAAGAACCAGCCGCCGTCCTTGGTCAGCCAACCCGTCTCAGCATGAGTTGAGAGCGCTTCCGAGGCTGTCCAGCTTCTCGCAGGCAACCCCGCCCATGCCGCTCAGGCGCCAGGCCCAGGTGCCCTCGCGCAGGGGCTTCCATCCCAGCGCCCAGACACCCCAGCCACCCACCCAGGACTCCTCGCCACGCGGGTCGCCGGTGGGGTAACTGCCGTTCTCGACTCCTCCGGCGGCATGGACGGGGGGCGGGGGCGGCGCTCCCGGCGGCCCGCTGTCGGGCGGCGCCTGAGGGCTGCCTGCGGCCCCGCCCTCCTCCTCGTGCTCGCCGATCTCCATGCCGTACTCGGAGTCGTCGTAGTACGGCACGGTATGCCCGAACGGGACCTCGTGGGCCACTGCCGGGCGGCCCCATCCGGCGCGGGCAACAGCGGTGCTGAGCGGCCCGCGCCAGTCGTAGGCGGTCGCGCTGGCGGTCAGCGCGATCGGCCCGCGTGCAGGGCCCGCCAGCGCCGGGCGCCGGGCGGCCATGGCACGCACGCTTCCGGGCGCCGAGGGCGCCCAGACCCCCTGAGGTCGGCTCCAGGGCTTTGAGCCCCGAAAGCTTGAGCGGGAGAGAGGGAGAGAGAAGGGCAGGCAGAGGCAGGAGCAAAGAGAGGAGAAAACCCAAGCCGACTGGGGAGGGCGGGGTCCAACGGTTTAGGACAAACAATTAATTTTGGGGTCATCCAGGCCGTCTAGATGCTCTCTTGGGAGTCTCTTTGGCCGTCTTGGGGCGGTGCGGGGGGCTTTTTTGAAACATGTTTGGATTCAAGCAGCGAGTGTGCTGGAAATGCGCGTTTTTTTGTTTGAATGAAACGATTTCTGCGTTCTGGGAGTTTTGTCGAGCCTCCTGGGCCGTCTTGGGAGCCTCTTGAGGCTATCAGGGTCCTTTTTGGAGCGCTCTTCCTGCTGTCTGGGGTATTTCTTCGGCCTCTCTGATCACCGGCTAAGCGCCTTGAGAGGTCCAGGACGAACGGAGGGCCTTTGGCAAGGGTGTCCTGGGGGGCCCGGAAACCCAGATGTGGGGTGTGGGTGGATTTCCCAGCGCACGGCTTGCAAACATATAGGAGGAGGAGTGTATGTATCGATTAATTCGATCGCGCGTTCATAGGTCATGGGCTGAGTGTTAGCGGGCTTTTTAAGTGCGAGGGCATTGAGCAGATTGAATATGTTGTGAGCGCTTCAGAATTTCAAATGACTGAGTAGGATTGGGCATGCCTGCCAGTCGGTGTGAGGTCTGAGTATGCCTCTGACTTGCTTGAGCACGTGTGAGCCTATGTACTAGCGGATCTGAGTGTGAGTGGGTTTGGCACGGGGTGGCTGATTAGGAGTGAGCGCAGGCGGGAACGAACCTGAAAATAAATGACCTAGTGCGAATGAGTCTGAATGAGCGCGCGTCTGAATATATTAGAATGGGCCTGACCATGACCATGACCGAAATCGGGCGCGGGTTATTATGATTGTCGTGGCGTATGCATATGAGCGGTTCGGGTTCTGTATGAACAGTTACGATCGTGAGTCAATAGTGGTATGAATGAGCTTGAGATTTGACGATTCGGTATGAGTGGGTTTCCACAACGGAGCCCTTCAACAGGGCACCCAGAAAGATGTGCCCATCCCGTGACATCCGGCGGCATCCGCCGGAGGTGTCCTGGCTGCTTTCGCTGGAGGCTTCCTCACCATTCGATTCGTCGTGGGCGCCACGTGGCCTCCTCGTCGCCGCCTCGTCGCCGCCCCGCGTGGTGGCTGGTATTTCCGGGTTTTCTTTGTCGCCGCCCTTCGCAGCCTCGTCGGCGCCCCGCGTGCTGGCTGGCATTCCCGGGTGTTCGCCACTCGCCGCCCGTCACCGCTTCGTCGCCGCCCCCACATACCGCGCCACTCGCCGCACACACCCCCCCACATAGGGTGGTTCTCACACCGTCGCGGCTGGAGTGGCGAGGCCCTGGGATCCAGGACTGCCTCCGCCCGCCGCGCTCGGCTAGGTGACGACACCCCCGCGGCCCCAGGGCCCCGCCCATCCCGCCACGGCGTTTTCTTTCCCCATGGACTAGCCCGGGGTGACAAACGGGAGGCTACCCGCATGCTTTCCCGGGAATGGGGCCCAGTGGCACAGGTGCTAGGAGGAGGAGGAGGAGGAGGAGGAGGAGGAGGAGGGAGGAGGAGGAGGAGGCGGAGGGAGGGGGGGAGGAGGAGGAGAGAGGAGGAGGAGGAGGAGGAGGAGGAGGAGGAGGAGGAGGAGGAGGAGGAGGCGGAGGAGGAGGAGGAGGAGGAGGAAGGATGACGAGGGAGGTGGGGAGTGGGAGGTGGGAGGAGGAGGGGGAAGAGGAGGAGGAAGAGGAGGAGGAGGAAGAGGAAGAGGAGGAGGAGGAGGAGGAGGAGGACGCGGAGGGAAGAGGCAGGATTCCTTTTGTCCATTTCGGCAACTTGTCATGCCTCCTCCCAGACCCCCGATGTTTAGATTTTTCCCGAATGCGGGATCCGTGGTCTCTGGGCTTCCTATGTGGGAATCGGGTAGACGGTGTCGGGGACGGGGCCGACGCATCGGCGATGCGGCTCGATGTGGAGCGGGATTGGCTCCACGCCAGATGCATCGCCAGCTGCATCGCCAGCGTCTCTTGTGCATCGCCGACGCATCGGCGATGCATCGCCGATGCATCGCCGATGCGCGCGATCCTCCGAACTCGCTTGCGCGGACCCCATCTAGGAGGCCTCTAAGGATGCGGGATCCCTGGTCTGCTGCCCGCTCCTGGCCGCCTCAATCGCTGCCAGGCCGCGCAGAAGCGCAGAGCGGAGGACGCGGAGCAGGATGAGGGCCACGGGGAGGCGAGGCGAGGGGGAGGCACGCGTGCCCTGTGGCTTCGATGCATGTTCATGGGAGTCTTGGGCGGCGACGTTGGAAGCAGCTGTTCATGGACTCGGGCCGCAGTTGTGCCTTCCTCCTGCTCCTCCTTGCCCTTTCTCTTCCATCCCCCCCTCGTTCTTCTCGCCTCCCTTGTGAAGGGGCGGACCCGGCCCAGACGTGTCCAACAGCTGCTCCGAGCCAGCCCAGCTCGGACAGCGCCGGGGGCCACGGGGGCTCCCGTGGCACCGAAACCAGCCGTGGCCCCTCACCAGGACGACGCCCTGGCCCCCGGCCGCTCCTTCATGGCGCAGAGAGCCGCCGAGGCCGACACGAAGGCGCTCGCCTGCGGCCTCCTGTACAAGGCGCCGCCCCGCGCCCGCCCCGCGCCCTCCGGCGGCCCTCGGCGGCCCTCGGCGGAGGCGCCCCTCTCGGAGGCCTCCCGGAGCCTTCGGAGGCCCCCCCCCGGGCGGCTCTTGGAGGGCCCGGCGGCTCCTTGGAGGAGGAGGAGGAGGAGGAGGAGGAGGAGGAGGAGGAGGAGGAGGAGGAGGAGGAGGAGGAGGAGGAGGAGGAGGAGGAGGAGGAGGAGGAGGAGGAGGAGGAGGAGGAGGAGGAGGACATTCTGGACATTCTGGACAATGAGGGCTCATGGGCAGCCACATAGTTTGTGAGAGAAAAAGAGCAACGAGGGACCCCATCACCTCGTCACAATGTCCGAGCCTCGCCCAGCTGCACAGCAGAGAAGGGCATGGGCACGGCACGCACGGATCCTATCCTCATCCTCGTGGGGAGGAGGCAAGGGAGGGGGGGAAGCAACAGCGGCGGCAGCCGCCGAAAAGAGGCCTCCTGCAGGAACGGACCGCCGAAGAGCACGACGGAACCTCGCCTGTCGCGGCGGCGGGCGATGGCCTGCCGCAGCTCGGCGGTGAGCTCCACTCGGGTGGGGGGGGGAGGAGGAGGAGGAGGAGGAGCGGGGTGGGGAACCCAGGGATCCCCAGACGCCTCTAAAGTCCTCAGCATCCCTTCCTCAGCCCAGGGTTCTGGTTCATCAGGCCAGACGTCGCCTCCTTCAGCCACCTGGGGCTCTGAAAGGGGCTCAGGACACGGCACTCCAACACGGTCCTGGGGGGCACACGGGACAGCTGGGCGGTCAAATCTGTGGTCCCTGGGCCCCCCTATTGCTGAAACCGGCAAAGTCAAGAGCAATATCATCATTGGAGGCTGCAGCAGCATAGGAGTCGAGGGCCTGAAAAAACTGGCTCAGTCCATCAGGAAGATCAGTGGGATCCAGGGCTTCACGATCACATAGCCGATAAGCCTCAGAAACAAACTCCGATACTGCACGTCCCATTGCTGCACATAGCGCCTGAGGGTACCTTTTTTTGGGAGCAGTCCTCCATTTTCCTGTTTCAGGATCGATACCCAGTAAGGTAGTGTGGGTGTTTTTTGGGTGGTCGCATCTTCCCCCTCTTCCCAGTCCCTGGATTTCGTCCCCGATTGAGTCGAGTCTTATGCAAAGGAACGTCGTTGGGGCCTTCCTGGCCTGTCCGAAAACACATTGGTCGAAACTGAAGGTTCGGGAGGGAGGGGCAGCACACAAGGCCCGCGCCGTTGCAGTCTGCCACGAGCTGGGAGCCCGAGGTTCCCAATGGGCCTCCTCAGGATGCTCTTTCAGTGCACACGCACCAACCTCCAGGCAGGTCAGCATCAACTTGTGCTGGCTCAGCAGGAGCTGCGTTCCAATTGAGAGCTGCAAATGTTGACGACTCGAAACGTCAGGACGTCCCCATCTATGTTTAAGAGTACGAAGAGGGGTTGGGGGGCGGGATCGATCAGCAACTCGTAGCTCCTGCCATCGCGCAGCTGACCATGTCTCACATGGCGGGCCTCCTATGAGTCCTATAGCACGGCCTGATCTCAGGAGCTCATCCCACTTCTGCACAATCTCTTCACGGGTAAGGTCACCATTCACCTCATCACAAGCCACTTCACAGGAACTTATAATGACAGTCGCGGGCCCATGGGCCAGTACACGCTCAAGCTCCTCCTGCACATCTCCTGTCCTCCGGGCTCCTGAGAACAAATGTAAAAAGGCAAGCACAGCATACTGTAGTGGTCGTGGACAGCGCTCAGCCGCTGGTCCGTCATAGGCTAGAGGTTCAAATTCATGTTCATCTTCCAGTGGGGGCTCACAGTGGGGTACTTCACTCTGGACCTCAAAGATGGGCTCTGGGGCATCTTCGTACTGGTATTCCATACTGCGTATAACCTGCCAGGCCTCCACATAGGGCAACGGGGTGGCTTGGGGGGCATTCCGAGGTCCAGGCACACGATAGGCAGGGAGCCAGGCTCCCCGACGCATGGCCCCTTTTTGTCGGGCCTGTTTCCTTTCAGAAGCCTCCAAAGCACGCACCTCCTCCAAGACCTCCGAAGCCTCAGGGTTCAGGAACAGGAGGGCCGATATGAAGCAATTGGGGTTGCCATGCGCCAGGTGATCAATGCTTAGTTCCACAGAGCTGAACCGTATCAAACACATAGGGCATGCACTACTGTGTATATATCTGGCGGCAACATCACGTTGCCTATGATGTAGTCGGGCAATATGAGACTTGACTGCGGCACACTTCAGGGACAGGAACGGGCAAAACGGGCAGCGATGCACAACAGGCACAGGAGCTGGTCGCAGAGACAGATCTGGCGGCACTCCAACACTAGCAGCATGCTGAAAAAACTCCCGCGTGCGTCGCTTGGCATCCTCGATACGGCTGGCCCAACGGATATGTGATTCAATTCCAGATCTGACCAAGTTCGCCCAGTGCTGCCCCCTTCCCGTGATCTCCTTCTCCCATGGCCCAAACTCCGAAAACGGACTTGGAAGCTCACGAAGCCGAGAAACCCGAGTACGTAGCCACCTCAAATCATTCAAAACCATGTTGAACCATGAGTGCTTCGGCTCGGACGTAGCTCGAATCAACCCAAAGAGAGCCCCAGGAGCATGCCTATAAAGACGGGTAAGATAGCGGAGACGGTGCCAGCGCATCATAATATCCACGTCGCACTTGTTGGCCAGTGCCAGAATGGCCTGGTCTGTCTCAGCATCATCATCATAGGCCGGCCGTCCAAGCGCAGCCCGACAGATGCGGATGATTCCAGCACGGTACTTCTTAAACTGCGCAGCAGTAGGGTTCGGCCACGTAGCCGCATTGTAGAGCCTGCCTGAGAGTACCAGTACGTCGGACAGCTGCAGCTTGTGCTGCACTGGAAGCTGAGGGTTCGGAAACACTGTTTGTCGTAGGGCCTGCAGCGACGACGACGTCGAGGAAACCCGATAGGCCAGCTCAGAGACCATACCCCCAAGATGCTTGTACGAGTGAACAGCCTCCAAAGACAGGCCTTGAGGAAACGTGCGGGTACCAGGAATACAAACCTTGCCTTCCTCCTCGATCCAGAACTGCTTGCGGGCCGAAACCGAGCCAGGTCCTCTAAAGGTGACCAACAAGGCCGTCTTGGTGGGGCCCGCATTGATCTTGAGGCCCACGGGGGTGAAGGAGTCCGCCACGATCGACACGAGCGTGCGAGTTCGTTGTATAATGGAGCCTGCTTGGCCCCAAGCATTGAAGAGACTGTCATCACTGTACTCAACGTCATTGGCATAGATCTTGGTATCACACTTGGCCAGGGGGTCCAGGGTTCTAGCCGAGGGAACATCGAGCTCCTGCTGGAGCCCAGCAGCCACCAAGAGGTCCCACGTCTTTCGAATACACCTGGACACGATGAACAGGAAGAGCTGGGCCGCCAACGTGTTGCCTGGCCTGGTCCCGGTAGTCATGATAGCTACTTCTCCAGAGCCCTGTGTCGTGGCCCCTGTCCCCGACAAGGTCTCCGCCAAGATGCGCCGAAGATGCGCAGGAACCTCCAGTTCCTCAAGCAGCGGTGGCTGAGCGAGCTCCGCTGCAAGTAGGTCCATGCAAGATGGCGGCAAACCTGATGCATATAATAGTTGCGCGACTCGCTCATCAGAAATCTCCTCCTCTCCTTCGAATCGAATAAGACACTCTCGAACAGCATGATGGAAAGCGGCCTCCAGGTCCACGAAGAGGGTCGACATCGACTCCGATCGAATGCGAGAAAGCTCCTGCATAAGCCGAACCGTGTGGACCGCAAAGTCAGTCCCACGTCCCTTGATGCCTCCACACTGCGATTCAGGTGCATACGTATCTAGAAAGGGCTGTAGGCGCCCTGCGACCAGAGCATGCGCGCGCTTACCCACCTGGGGTCCTATGGCCACTGACCTGCTAGAAACACACACATTGGGCTGACCTCGACCCTTGTGCAAATCCGCCAGTCTCGAGCTTTTCCACTGTATAGGTTCATGAATACACATCATGTACTTCAGCACTAAGGGGAAGTAAAGACGGGCACATTGGGTAGAGCACATACGAAGGATAGCACCAGGCACACAGTCCACACCATTCGCACAAGAGCTCGAGGTCTTCAGAAGTTGCTGTTCAAACATAGCAAGCGTCGGTAGCATCTTCGCCGCTGAGTCATCAATCTCAGCAAGCGGATAGCTAGCTTCTCCTACAAACTGCAGCAGGCTGGCGGCAGGCACACGAAAACCAAGCTCCTGCTCCGCAAAGTGTTCCAGCCAGCGATCTCGCCCAGCAGTTGGCGTTAAAGCCGGCGTGCCGTTCTTCAATAGAATCTGGGCAGATTGGCTGGCAGGTCGCTTCTTAGCTGATCCGACTCCCAGCGTCCGTAACTGGCTAAAGGCTTGTCGAAATTCTTTCAGGAGGAACGAGCTGGCAACGTCTTTCGACATCTGCTCCATCTTGGCAGCCTTGTCCAGATCACACGACCAGCTAATCAGGCGAGAGGTGAGGTAAGTCATGTTGCTGCTCATAGCCTTCATAAGGCCATGCCACCCTCTAAGTAGATCGAGATATTTGGATGTCGGTGGGAGCTGAATCCCAAGAATATCACGGACACGAGCCAGCTCCTGACGTAGGGTAAACAGATTGTCCCAGTCAGGAGTCCGAGCAAGCCGACGACAATCAGGAAGGTGCCGTCGGGCCAACACCTGAAGGACGTCAACCTGGGACCGCAAATCCTCCATGAGCCTCCAGAGCTGCTGTCGGTACCTCGCCCCTCGGACACCATTAGATCCGCATCGGATCCGTAGCCTGCCCCAGACGCCCTCGTGCTCCTGGTAGCCCTCAGACGCCCAAGCATGAAAGGCCACTTGGAGGAGCACACGAGGGGCCTTTCGGGTCCAACTTCTATACATAATTCTAAGATGTTTCCGAAGTTCGAGGAGCTCCAGAGACCTTTCACTTACCCAGTCCTGACGACGAGGGTCTTCTGG